CCTATTCATTATTTTGGATCAAATCCAAACTTTGATTTAATTGGCTGTCTTGGGTTCGATTCAATCTAGTGTGGGTTTCGTAAATTCAATTACTACGTGGGTTCACATCAAATAAGACCTAAAACTAAATGAAAAATCCACTGAAAAAAGTAACAAAATTAGGGGTGAATTAGGAAGAGTTATCAATCTCATCTCATTCCACAAACAAATAGAGCCCTTGCTAGATTTCATATCTCTTTTTATGGCTTAGAACATCTCCAAAAGATTCTGTAAAAACAATATAATCTATTTTAAAGAGTTAATACTTAAAAAAAGCTTCAAAAGGATCTCTATTCTAACTTTTTAAAATATAGTGTGGATTTGACTCTTCAAAAAACTCACATTCTATTTTTACTTTAAAATGATTACATTTACTAAGGCACAAATTTCAATACTCTATTAATATTAAAATCTTATTTGAATTGATTGGCCATTGATATATAAAAAATATATTAAATAAAGATGGAGAAAAATCAACCAATGTTGAAAAAAACAAAATGAATAGTCAAAATAGAGAACATTATTGGAGTATATAAAAATTTTTATTGTCTAATTGAAATATGACTTTTATTATACATAAGATGCTCTTTTAAAATACATAAGTCTCTTAGAGATGCTTTTAGACCCTCACCTTAACTTGAACTCAGATACAATCTCCAATGGGACTAAACTCAATATGCAAAACTTGGGATTCGATGTGGAAATACAGAAGCAGCGTGAACTAGTTCACCTAACACAACATGTGTACAGAAAGATATCCAGGTCATCTACTATTCCAATGTGTAAGATTCCCGAGTTGAGCATCGAATTGTCGTAACAATTTGACATACTGAATCCACTAGTGGACAAATATCAGTAAAATGATAAGCCGCCCAATTCACACATTGAAACATAAAGTGCACAAAATTACTGAAATCAAATGCAAATGTACAACAAAATAACTGTAACTGTAGGTCGGCAATATGCAACCTTAACAATTTTGACATCTTAAATACAGACAACACACTAGATACACACCAATACGACAGTAAACCACTGAACTCACACTCAATTATGCATACACTTACCTTAGATTGCTAAAATCAATTCAAATATGGAAAATTACTAAAAGTATAGCCCAGGATACAATTCGATGCCATAACTCGCATTAAATCACACGAAAATAACACACTTACAAAGAATTGATTATAATAGCACCTAGATTTTACAAAAAAAACCATATTTGCAAATCATTACCTTAATGCATTTTAATCTTATCAGGGCAAAATTACAGTAAAATTAACATCAAAATCCAATTTGACATCTCAAATGCACTCACTTCATTTTGCAGATAAAGGTTGTCGGCTTCTTCAATCGGTTTTCAATTCTGTCACTGCTTAGTAACGGAGTACTCCTCCTGTCACCCATATGTGATCCGCTAATAGACCCGTGCCCCTTCACCCCAGTGGCCATCATTTGCGTCTTCTGCAGCACTTTATTTTGAGACTCCTTCAAATGCTGCCTGTGTTTCTCCTCTTGCCTTAGTTTTTCATACTCCTTATTTTTCCTCAACCTTCTCTCCTCCTCTGTCTCGACCCTACCTGGTTGCCCTTGCCTACCTGATCTTTGAGCTGGGCCAATAGGCGGCAAGGAGGGCTTTTGTTGCTGTTTCGATGAAGTTCCCAGATTTTTATGACCTGATTTCTCACCTGCATGCTTGTTCTCTGTGCCCAATCTAGCAGGAAGTCCTGAAGAAGGGGGTGGGGGAGGAGAAGAGGGCTGCGGCGGAGGTGGCGGTGGTGGAGGGGATGAAGGAGGAGGAGGTGGTGGTGGTGGTTGTAAAGGCTGCAAAGATTGAGGCTGATTGAACTGGGAATAATTAGAAGGTGGGTAATAGGCTGGAGGAGCTGGGACGGGTGGTGGGTATGAAGAAGACTCTGACGGCGGCGGTGGCTGATACGGAAACTGCTGCTGTTGAGGCGGTGGCGGAGGTTGGTTTCCTGGAGGAGGGGTAAAATGCTGTTGGGATGATGATCTGTAGCCAGCATTTTGATAATTCGAGCTCAGATTCATCTGAGCATAGTTCTGATTGTACGCGGAACCCTCTTTGCCGCCATAAGGGCCCCAGTTTTTAGGGTACTGATTGCCCTGCGTTGGCTGTGGTGCTGAAGACTGAAGAAGACTTTGATTTGGCGGAGCTGGGGCTGGAGGAGCGAATGTTGACTGTTGCGGTGGATGGAATGGCCTGTACGAAGCCATTGCAGTTATCCGCCTACAACTCCGCTAGAAAAAGGTTCAACTTTTACTCTATCGAGAGAGAAATTAAAACCCCAAAACAGAAACTTAATTTACAATTGGAAATTTTTAACGAATTTGGATAATTGAGATGTAGAATTCGGGTTGGAAAATTTTAATTTTGAAACCCTGGAGAAGAGAATTGCTTAACTGCAAACCCAGGATCAAAATTAAAACCTAAACTTAATTGGAATGAAATACATTTATATTTGCATCTGCGCAGCTTTTTGTACTGGAGAAGGAGAAGTTGCGATGTGTGAGAATCATAGGTTACGCCCCAACACTGATTTTTTGGCCAAAAACTAATGAAAAATTGACAGTCAATTGACGACTATAGTCTACCGTCTTATGAAAGATATGACCTCAGGTTTCTTTACAGTTTCTATACAGTTTCCGATCGTTTTCTGTTTCCCGATTTTTCAAAACGGTGAAAACGTGTTCTCTTCCCTATTTTTGAAAACGAATTTTCGAAAACGAAAAAAAATTTGTGAAGAAAACACAAAACGACTTTTTTGTCGTTTTGGACGTTTTCAGTGTAAAACTTGAAAAAATTGAAAACGCGGGAAACACTTTTATTTTATTTTATTTATTTATTTATTTATTTTTTGAAATTGTGAGAATCACCACAACACCACCTCAAAAAATTTTTAATTTTAATTTTTTTTTTTTAAATTTTGAGAATCACCACACCACCTCCTCAAAAAATAAATAAATAAATAAATTCATTTTTTTGTTTTGAGAAACTATAAAAAAGAACGCATTTTTAACAATTTCAAAATAAACACTCAAAATGAATTCAAAATTCAAAACACAAAACTGAAATACAAAATGAATACCCCTAATATTCCTTGTTTGACTCACATTATTTTTATAAAAATGCACGTATTGATCGAAAATATATGAATAAAAATTAAGAAAAAATTTTAAATTAACGTGTAACATTATTTTATTGAAAAACGTATAACTGAAATGATATCAAATTACTGTTTAAAAATATATTATTTAAAAGAACGCGTGTCATATGGCTAATGATGAACTTTATAGTTTTTAGATGAGTTTAGGTTTGGTCCAATAGTGTTGCTACGAGTATAGAAAAAATTGATAGAATTTTTAAAGAGAACAGTTGGCAGATTTGCATTGATTTTTGACACAACAAATACAGAAATTACATCACACAAATGCTGCCAACACAACACCTGTATTACTTTGTCAATAATTCCCTGTACCTATGGAATTATTCTCGGTTCAATTTGTTCATAAGGGATCTTGTTGGGTACACAAGCGACATGCATTAAGTTAGTACATTTCAGCATTTTTTTTATTTAAAGTTTAGCTTGTGTTGAGGTCATTATTGTGTAAAAATAACTTTTTGAATAGTGATTTTTTTCCTTTTTTGAAAATGTGGAGTTAAAAAGAGGAAAAATTTGGATTTGCAAAATATTTTATTGTGTGAATTTGTAATTGAAAATAAGTGTGAGAAATAAATTATTTTGTTTTAAAGGGAATTAAACAAAAAGCATATTTTAGTTTTGTTTGTTCAAAATGGATCTTGTAGGATGCATTAGCGGCCTGCATTAAGTTTGTACTTTTCAACATATTTTGCGTATATAATTTAGCATCTGTCGAGCCTTAGATGCTTCAGATGACTAATTTTGGTTTTGTTCGTCGAAAATGGATCGTGTTGAGTACATTAGCAACATGCATTAAGTTAAATATTCTAGACGAGAGTACCTTTAGTTGCTCTTGTTTATAAAATGTGATATAACAGATCTCACAAATTCATTGCCTTTGAATTTCAAGAAAAAAGGATGTCGTTTATTAATAGTATTCATTGGAGTACACTTGCCTTGCATTATGTGGATAAATTGAAAAAAAGAAAAAGAAAAAGAAATTTAAAGGTTTTGAAGGGCATTCCCCTCAACCCTATGCATGCAAATATGAAAGTTAAAAATGATGTTCAACGCACTTTCTCAATGGACAATATGTCTTCAATCTCTAAACAAAGTAAACTAATGCATTGGCTTTTCCCTATATGTAAAATCGAACTCAATACATATGGATGTTCAAAAGGAAATCCAGGTTAGATGGTATTTGAAGGGCTTATCAAAGGATGCCAAGGAAAATGGATTTCATGCTTTATCGCGAGCTTAGGACATGCATCGAGCTTAACAATGGAATTATAGGATATTTTTAAAGGCCTATTATTGGGGACAAAAGTTGGAGAAGTGCAATGCTTGACGTAGATTCGATAGAAGAAGTATTTTTGTTAACAGATGCAAAGATTACAAAAAAAAATCCAACATATCTCTACTCAGGGATGGAGATAGCACCTGGCAACCTCTTATGGCTTCTTGTGCTGGCTCCGTCGATTTTTTTCCTTATATTGGGCAACTGCTTGACACTCGCTCAAGAGATCGTCTAGTTGCTGCCATTGTTTATCTGGATTTGTTCGTGTTCACCTATATTCTTGAATGTGTCACTGTCTCTATTAAAGGATTGCTGCTTCTTGTTTTTATATCTCAATATTGCAACATTGCATATTTTTAGATGAGGGAACATTGCGCAAATCACCTTGCAAATATTGGAGAAATGTAGAATAATATTCTTGTTATTTTAGAAAATTCCCCTTTTTTATTAATTCTCTTCTTTTGGCAGATTTGACAAGGATTAACTTTATCAGATTTCATACATAATTCTTTTTCTTTTTTGATGTCTGTTTGCATACCAAAAAAAGAAGTAGTAAATTTTTGGAGGGATAATCAATTACTATCCTTTCTCTATGCAAATTGAGAATAAATTATCGCTCGTAGAAATTTCTATGGTATTATATAACAAACACTTTTTACTTGTCAAATCAAAATAGTAAAATAATCTTATGGACGAGACTCTTCTCATTCGACTTTATTTATTAACGATCTCTTTAAATTCATTATTTGAAGAATTATATATTCTATATATCTTTTCCATAATTACATACTTTTTACAATCATTGGTGATTTAGTAAGGGCTTGTTTGGCCTGACTTTTTGAAAAGTTAAACGTATACTTTAAGATTGAAAAGAAGGTTTCGTGCCAATTTAGATCATTTTATAAAAGAACTTTGATTAATTAGAAGAGTTTTCATATGAAGCTGACCAATATGGCTTCTTAAAGAAGCTCTTGTACAAAAAGACGAAACAGAATCTATCCCAAGCAAATGAGATTGTCAGCAATGAAATAGAAGAAAAATAAATGTTGAAACTTACTTTGAGCTAAAAATTTAAATCCAAAAATTTATTTCATGTAATTGTTAAGCCCGTGTTTGACATACATTAAAATGAGCAAGGCGCCATCGAACATTCAACAGATAGCCTCACGATCAAGCACTCATGTTCGGAAGTTGTCATTGTATACTCTCGTGGGTTGAAAGGCAATTGGGGAGAGGTCATTTCGCCCCTTGTCCCCTAAGTTGGTTAAGATGTTCTCAAACATTCTTGCCCCAATCTGACCTAGCTGCCGAGCAATCCCCGCCCCAATCGATAGTTACTAGCTTTTCTCATCTCTCCCAAACTTTTCCCAGTCTTCGGCCCAAGCTATAAGAGGCAGAAACTCATCCCACGTATGGTTCGAAGGCCGAGCCCTACCTCAGCAATCAGGGTGTGGCTCGAAAAGGTGAGCGGAGTGAGCGATTTCAATCGAAAAATTGCCTAATCAGTTGAACCCCAGTGATTAGGAGAGAGGAGAAATTCCTTAATAGGTTACCCAATCCCTAACTAAAAAAATAGTGGTGAAGAAATCGAAAAGTCAATTTTCATCATTCAAACACGCCAATTTTATTGACCTTGAATGTGGTCAAGTTGAAGAAGAATAATTGCTGGATTGGTTACCTATGCCCATTGGTGGATCTTCCTTATGCGTATTCATTAAGCCTAAGAAGAATAGGGATTTCAATTCCAAAACCCAAGATCAAGTCCTTCGAGTTGTACGGCATTTTATATGAAAGAACTTCTTGCACAATTCATGCACAATGAGTTATATGTCATCTTCTTAGTTTTAGCTTTCTGACGTCTAAGCCGCTTTAGTAGGGATGGATCCCATCATAGCACTCTAAGAGGGGAAGTATTGAAGTTTCCAGCGTTTCGCTCATTGGACCGGAAGAACACCAAATTGTGAAAGGAGAAGACCTCTTCGAAACATTCAAAGAATAAGCGGTGAACATTTTCAAGAATTCCATTGCATATACGTCTGTGAGCTCGAGCTGAAAGGACAAGGGGAAGAAAGAGGCATTCCAATAGACGGTACCAATGCTTTAGATTGTTGCTTTTTATTTCATTTATCTCGTACTAAAGTAGATCAGTATTGATCATGGAGTAGCTTTTCACTATATGAACTTAAAAGTTCGACGATCCAAAGATGCCTTCTTGAAATGGTAAAGAAAGGGCTTAAAAGAGCTTCAAACTCAACCTAATAATCAACTTCCAAAAGATGGAATGGAAATTTAGCTTGGAAACTGAAATTTCTTAATCTGCAAAATCGTCTTATGCTGCTTCATATCCATCATTTACTTTCTACAGAGTTCTCTAGGGTCTCAATAAGAGGGAATGGAAGTACCTTTGACCTTAATCCATTTTTTATTTCTGCTAAGCTTCTCATGGGAAGACTCTTTTATTTCTGGAAAAAGGTATGCCTTGTTAAAGGCATGATCTTTTCTGTCCCTTGATTTTTCAATTTGTCTGAATCTCACTTTTCTCTACAACGTGCATCTGAAAGCAGCACTCGTACTATCTGTTAAATACAAAAAATGACAGATTGACATTAGCTTATGTGAGACTTATCGGAGTTCTTAGTACATTTTTTTGGTTTTCCTATGAGAGATTCGGCCTAAAAGGTCTATTTGAGAAAATTGGTCCCGGTATAAATATAAATACTCTAAAAAAGAGCTTGAAGAGCCACTATACCCACATATATAGAGTAAAAAGAGATATC